GTCCTCCAGCAGGGAGCACCCACCACGTCCTCCAGTGGAGCACCCACCACGTCCTCCCACGGGGAGCACCCACCAAGTCCTACAGCGGGGAGCACCCACCACGTCCTCCAGCAGGGAGCACCCATGCGTCCTCCAGCAGGGAGCACCCACCACGTCCTCCTGCAGGGAGCACCTGCCACGTCCTCCAGCAGGGAGCACCCACCACGTCCTCCAGCAGGGAGCACCCACCACATACGTCCTCCAGCAGGGAGCACCCACCACGTACGTCCTCCAGCAGGGAGCACCCACCACGTACGTCCTCCAGCAGGGAGCACCCACCAAGTCCTCCCGCAGGGAGCACCCACCACGTCCTCCCGCAGGGAGCACCCACTACGTCCTCCAGCGGGGAGCACCCACCACGTCCTCCAGCAGGGAGCACCCACCACGTCCTCCAGCTGGGAGCACCCACCAAGTCCTCCAGCAGGGAGCACCCACGACATCCTCCAGCAGGGAGCACCCACCACGTCCTCCCACAGGGAGCACCCACCACGTCCTCCAGCAGGGAGCACCCACCACGTCCTCCAGCAGGGAGCACCCACTACGTCCTCCCACAGGGAGCACCCACCAAGTCCTCCAGCAGGGAGCACCCACCACGTCCTCCCACAGGGAGCACCCTCCAAGTCCTCCAGCAGGGAGCACCCATGCGTCCTCCAGCAGGGAGCACCCACCACGTCCTCCCACGGGGAGCACCCACCAAGTCCTCCCACAGGGAGCACCCACCAAGTCCTCCAGCAGGGAGCACCCACCACGTCCTCCAGCAGGGAGCACCCATGCGTCCTCCAGCAGGGAGCACCCACCAGGTCCTCCCACGGGGAGCACCCACCAAGTCCTCCCACAGGGAGCACCCACCACGTCCTCCCACAGGGAGCACCCACCACATCCTCCAGCAGGGAGCACCCACCACGTCCACCCACAGGGAGCACCCACCACGTCCTCCCACAGGGAGCACCCACCAAGTTCTCCAGCAGGGAGCACCCACCACGTCCTCCAGCAGGGAGCACCCACCACGTCCTCCCGCGGGAGCACCCACCAAGTCCTCCAGCAGGGAGCACCCACCACGTCCTCCAGCAGGGAGCACCCACCACGTCCTCCCACGGGGAGCACCCACCAAGTCCTCCAGCAGGGAGCACCCACCACGTCCTCCAGCAGGGAGCACTCAGTCCTCCAGCACAGAGCATGCACCTCGCCCTGCAACGGAGCACCCGCAGGGTGCCCATGCGCGTAGATGAAGGTAACAAGTAACAAGAGCCAGTCCACAGAGAGCCCACAATTCCAAGTGCCGGCTGCTGGGCGTGGCGGTGGAGCATATGTGTGAAATCAGCTGCTGGGCGTGGCGGTGGAGCATATGTGTGAAATCGGCTGCTGGGTGTGGCAGTGGAGCGTATGTGTGTGTGAAATCGGCTGCTGGGCGTGGCGGTGGAGCGTATGTGTGAAATCAGCTGCTGGGCGTGGCGGTGGAGCATATGTGTGAAATCAGTTGCTGGGCGTGGCGGTGGAGCATATGTGTGTGTGAAATCGGCTGCTGGGTGTGGCAGTGGAGCGTATGTGTGTGTGAAATCGGCTGCTGGGCGTGGCGGTGGAGCATATGTGTGTGTGAAATCGGCTGCTGGGCGTGGCGGTGGACGTGGTGGTGGAGCGTATGTGTGACTTCACAACAATGCAGTCCTCACTTAGCTCAGCACTCATGGAGGTGCTGTGGTAAAGGTATTCCCAGGCTCTGCCTGTCTTCCATCATCACTGGACTTAAAGCAAAAGAGGTAGGTGGGCATCCTCTGATCAGCGAATGTCTAAAGGACCAACAAGGGCTGGGAAGGTGGCTCAGTGTAGAGCATGCCTAAGGCCCTGGGTTCGATTCCTCAGCACCATATAAGCAAAAAGAAAAAAAAGTCTGAAGTAGCACTGTGGCTCAAATGGTAGAGCGCTAGCCTTGAGCTGAAGAGCTGAGGGACAGTGCCCAGGCCCAGAGTTCAGGCCCCACGACCGGACCCAAAAAAAAAAAAAAAAGGAGCAACAACTGACTACACGGGAAGCGGCCGAAATAACAGCGCTCAACAGCAAGGTGAAGTAAGAGGAAGTCACGCTGCCGCAGCTCTGCTGGCTTTACTGAGATCGCTGCTCCCGGAACTCTCTAGGACCAAGATTCTAGAGCAACTGTTGAGACGTTACTGAAAGACAGCGTGGGAATGGCTGGTCTTCAGCGTGATCGCTCTTCTTCTAAGAGCAAGTTTGCAACCAGTGCATCCGTGAGGGGCGCCAGCCCTGGACAGAGCGGACAGAGGAAACTCAAAGCAAGTGACAGAACCAGAGACGGGTTCTGCTCGCCAATCATTGCCCATATCTGGCCACACTCTAAGAGCCATAAGTGTAGACCTGTCTTCACTCATTTGTATTTGTGTGAGGCCATTCTTGTTAAATAAAGCATGCTATTAGGAAGCTGTCCACCATATCTAGTGTGCCCTGGACGCCTATACAATTCGCAATCATTTTGCACAGAACTACCTAAGCCTAGTGTCTGCCAAATGCACAATTGTTGATTATGAGCTTGAGCTAGATACATAGGAAGACCTTGTCTCAAAAGACCAATGGCCAGGAATGTAGTTCTGCGGTGGAATCTTTGTCTAGCATGTACAAGGCCCTGGGTTTTATCTTCAGACTGGCAAAATAAAGAAAACTAATTACCAGAGTGTAAAACGGGTATTTCTTAAGTAACTCGGCTCCTTGTGAAGGCCATGTCTGGCACGGGAGGTCAGAGCTCTCTATGGAGAATGCAGACAAGCCAGGATCGTCAAACCTCGCATCCATCGTCATCCCTGGCCAAAGTCCTGGGATTACTTGTAATTTCTGAGTTACTGACAAAGCATTATTTTAGGCACAATGTTTGATTCTTGTGAGACTGATTTGATAAGTGACCTAATTTCCTATTTTTACTTTAGAAATGTGCAGAATATACATTCATGATTTTTAAGTCTCTCTTCTGCCTTTGATGATAAAATAACTCTCAACTACAACCTAACGCATTTGTCTTTTTATGCCCTTGGCTGTCCTGGCCTTAAATTCTACCTGGACAATTACAAGCAAAATGCACAGATGCAATGCCATTTTTACTACGAATATTTCAGTGAGGATTGTACTGATGGCGCTATGATTAAAAGCAGGAAGTAAGCTGATGTGCCAACAGTCTCTAGACCTTCTTCAAATCTTGCCAAATGTACTAAAATTCTTTACAGGGAGACAAATAAGCAGATGAGCTCAGTCTAGGATTACATCTCCAGCTGAGGACCTTGCCTTTTCAGATTCTGAAACATCTCTCTGGTATTTCTGTGTCTTTCATGACCTTGATTTTTTTTTAAAGACTGCATAGCCCATACAATTTTTCAAAGGATATTTTTTAACAACATGGTTGACTTAAAGGAGACTATACTTAGGATCAGTTTGGCAAGAACAATTTACCCCACTCAAAAGTCAGGGGGTGATCTGTAAATGACAGCCACAGATTAAAGCATGATAAATATGAAGTCTCAAAAGTATCCAGCCAAAGAACAAATGCAAGATTCTTACTTTTTGTAAAATTAAGTAGTTGTACAAATGGGTGCCAGTTCCATGAAGGCTCTTCCTTTTGTATGCTCTATTTGTTGTTAAACTCTGAGATCAAAATAACTTACTGAAATACAAACAGACATTTTGAATACGAGAAAGGATTTTTTTGTAAGAATCATTTTTCTTCCCACTCATTTTTATACGACGTTGATCGAAACGCACAGGTGACGATTTAGGAAATCAGAAGAAAATGCTACGGCAGGTTGCATCCCCAGCAGCGGCTTTTGTTCTACAGAGCGGTGGGAGGGCTGCTCAGGGGCACTCACAGACAGGAGAGGCGGTGCGGAAGCCCTTCAACCAACTGGCCGCCATGTTCTAGTCCAACCCCACCCCGCCCCAGCACCGTCGGCAGGTGCCTGGATTCCCCAGTTTGGCGTCTTACGAAATAGTCCTGTCTGGTGTAGAGTGCAACAATGTGCCCCATTCTTTATGTCCCCACGTTTCTTTGGTCAGCTGGTCTGACCCCACGGGATGTGAGGAACGTCATTGGCTCCCTTTGGACTTTCCATGGTTTACTTTGTGGCACGTGTTCTTCACAGACAACTCCACCACGCAACCATCCCACCTGCCATGAAATCAACATGGCCGCCATTTCTATCACACCTCCACTACCCTGGCCACTTTCACCAAGAGACTTCCTCCATGACCAGATGCCTGTGGAATCTGCTCCAGGAAGGACAGCGGGTTTGTTTGTGGATCTTTGGATCTTTTCTTCTTAGCATAACCAAAGCTGAAAATGCCTAGCATTTCTCACATGCTGAAATACTGCCGGGGTGCAGTCACACTAACGCTCAGAATTCCACTGTGTGCACATGTGAAGGTATTGTCATCCTTATTAGCTGCCTTACCTGGCTCTTTGCATCTTTCTTCCAGAGTTTGGGCGGACCAGCTCACGCACCTCGGCGCCACGGTTGACTTTCTCACTGTGCTGTCTTAGTGTGTTCTTACAAGCACACTCCTTTTCACTCAGGAGGTTTTTCTTGCAATTATTCTGAATTTGAGTTTGATCTCTAGAAGAAATATATAGTTGATTTATAAGCTAGTTCCGCTGGTATTATAAGTAGGACTTTCTCCCTCAACTCACAATATTTACTGGCTAACTGCTCATCAGGTTCCCTTGTTTTCTTGTTTGCTCTCAATTCCAAGCACGATTTCTAAAGAACCCCACATCACTGATGTGTTGTCTGATGACCACTCCAACGTGGTGGGGTCCACTGGGTGATGTATCCCCAGTACTGGTGCATGAGTAGTACCAACACATTGTCCATAGTACTGATGCATTTTGTTCACAGGACTGATGCATTGTTCACAGTTCTGATGTATCCACATTCTGGTGCATTCACAGTACTGAAGCATACTTCACAGTACTGATGCACAGTTCACAGTACTGATGCATGGTTCACAGTACTGATGCACAGTTCACAGTACTGATGCACAGTTCACAGTACTGATGCACGGTTCACAGTACTGATGCATGGTTCACAGTACTGATGCATGGTTCACAGTACTGATGCATGGTTCACAGTACTGATGCACGGTTCACAGTACTGATGCATGGTTCACAGTACTGATGCATGGTTCACAGTTCTGATGCACAGTTCACAGTACTGATGAACAGTTCACAGTACTGATACACGGTTCATAGTACTGATGCATGGTTCACAGTACTGATGCATGGTTCACAGTACTGATGCACGGTTCACAGTACTGATGCATGGTTCACAGTACTGATGCATGGTTCATAGTACTGATGCACAGTTCACAGTACTGATGCACGGTTCACAGTACTGATGCATGGTTCACAGTACAGATGCACGGTTCACAGTACTGATGCACGGTTCACAGTACTGATGCATGGTTCACAGTACTGATGCACGGTTCACAGTACTGATGCACAGTTCACAGTACTGATGCATGGTTCACAGTACTGATGCATGGTTCACAGTACTGATGCACAGTTCACAGTACTGATGCAGTTCACAGTACTGATGCATGGTTCACAGTACTGATGCACGGTTCACAGTACTGATGCACGGTTCACAGTACTGATGCACGGTTCACAGTACTGATGTATCCACAGTTCCGGTGCATTCACAGTACCGATGCACAGTTCACAGTAATTATGCATCACAGGACTGAGACTTTGTTCAATGCATCACCCACAGTACTACTTCCTCTCTTATGGCTTTTACTGTGGATTCAAATTCTGTATTGTGTCCTTAGCTATTATAACCCTTTTTCAATAGTTTGCCTACATTTTAAAACTATGATATCTTGGTTTACTTGTTCCTCCTTATCTTTCTTTTCAACTCAGTTTATTCCTTCCTACAACCTTATTTAGATCTTGATTCAAATGCCATTTGTCCTCATGTATGCACAAAAAGAAAAATTTAATTTTTAAGTAAGCACCTTGGAGTACATTGTCTTTAGATTTATCCAGACTTCATATTTTATCCATGCAAACCCAACATTTGATCCTGTTTTCAGCTCAGTGACGCTGTTCATCAGCAGCTGGAAGGCAGGTGTGATGCAAATCCAATCCCTTGAGACCACCCGGGGCAGCCCGGCTCCCCCCTCCACACACCCATGACCCTATCACACAAGTGAGTGAACAAGTGACTTCCAGAGTGTCCTCAAACTCACTT